TACTTGCAAAAGAGTGAAAATAAAGACCTGCTAAAAAGATGGGCAGGAAGACTTGCACCCAACTCCAACTCCAATGTCTTCCTTGTGCCCACTCCTCTCTCCCCCTTTTTGGAATCTCCACTTGCTGAAGCTGCTCCCACCTTAAAACCTGCCTGCCTGTTTTGCCCTCTGACAGTCTGTGATTGGGGCCAGTCCCTGACACTAGGGCCAAATTTAAATTTCCAGGGAGTTTTAACTACCACTCCATTTAAGATCCCTCTAACCACTATGGCTTACGTGAATGTTGTGGGCATGAACGGACTGGTCACTGGAACCACTGAACACAAGGTCATTCACCACCTTAAAGACAAAAAGTCATTGAGTTAGAGTTGGTAAAAAGTTCCAAGTTTCCTCTGTAATTTTGTAAGGTACATTGCCAAATTTTCATTCTATTTTGAGATAAGCATAGAGAGGTAGAAAACAAGTTTCTTAAGACTCTGGTTAAATCGTAGTACTATGACGTTATCTATAGCCACTGCAGGATGAGTTTGATCCTCAGACAGAGAGGTGAACCACACCATGCAGCAGACTGCTCCTGACCTGCCCGTTGCTCTCCTCAGCAGTGTATTTTGTTAGTCTGCCTGTTCTGCTCCTCATTCTGTCTCTGGTGAATCCTCTCACCCCTTCCCTCAACCCTGCACCTCTGGCCTGTCCCCCAGTTCTTGTACACATAAATTAATAAAAAAATTTTTTAAAAAAGCTTCTTAGATGTTTTCTGAATGGAAACGTATATCCTTACCACCAGGCACTCTGATTATGAAGTAGTCTAGAAGAGCAGTAAGTAATTCCACTTTCTACAATAAAATACACTTTCACTGTTTCTCAGATTTTTAATATGTTAAAAATAGCACAACCACTGGTGAGCCAGGTGTAAGAAAAATAATTATAATCGCCTTGTTCTTTTTAAAATTACTATTCTAAATAAGGATTAGAACATAGGGACATGTCATTCAAACCCCCCTGTTTGTGTAAGGCAACTAACTCCTAGTCACTTGAATGACACTTGCCTTCATGCAAAGAATAGTCTTGCTGTGGCCCTCCAGAGTTCTGAGGAGCAGTCCGTTCCGTGCATCACGAACACTAATGGTACAGTCATAAGACCCCACAACCAGCAGTTTGCGGGCACCTTCCTGAGCTGTGGCCAGACAGCTGACAGCCCGAGGGCCATGGCATTCAAAGATCTCAAGTCGCTTGTTGTTCTGAAAAATAAGCCACCATTTATGAAGCTAAACCAAAAACTTAACAGGAAAATCTCAAAATCAACTAACCAAAAATCTCCACCTTGATATAAAGTCTAATTCTATCACCTTTGACTTCCCAACCACTGCCATGCCCATTCAGCTCTCCGCCTAGGTCATGGCTCCCTACCTTTAATGCAAGCCCTTATATTATAAACTCATTTGTAACTTCAGTCCATACTATCTTGATCATAATTAGAACTTGGTTCTCTTTGTATTCTGCCCTCTCACTTCCCTTAACTTCATGATAATCACTGATCAACCTTTCCTTTTTAAAAAATACTCAAATACAGGGCTCTCCCTGGTGGCACAACAGGTTAAAGCACTGCACTAGGAAGCTCTCAGAAGCCACAGCAGCACAAGTTTGATCCCCAGCCAGGGAGCTGACCCATATGGCGTAGCAGATCTCTCCTGCCTGCCCGCTGCTCCCCTCAGCAGTGTATTTCAGTAGATCTGACTGTTCTTCACCCCACTCTGCCTCTGGTGAATCCTCCCACCCAGCACACTTCTGACCTCTACCCCAGTTCTGTGAGCATAAATAAATAAATCTTTTAAAAAAAATACTCAAAATACATTTTCCAGGCTACCAGGAATTCTTTCACTGTCTTTGTCATCCTAAATTCTCTACTGTGAACTTCTTTCTTAGGCAGTTTCAGTAAGGGTCTCACATTCTTCACTTTTCTATTATCTAACACTCTTCTGACTTATGGTATTATGTCATCTTTCACAACATCATTTAGTGAACTACAAAATCCTTTATATTAAAGAGACATGGCCCCATCCTGACCCCCAAACATTCTTTTATTCAGATTTTAGACTTGCTTCCCTTATCAATACAACAATGTTGTACATAAAGTTTCCCACTTTCCCCAAGTCTCTAAAAAGGTACTTTAGGTGCATACATGGGGTAAAACTCCCAGAAAATATGCACAAAGCAGCAGCAGGGGCCTTTAATACTAACAATTCTAGCCATACTGATGCTGATGCAGGTGTCCTTTTGAATCAGTGTTTTTGTGTCTTTTGGGTAGATACCTGGGAGTGGGATTGATGAGTCATGTGGAAGCTCCATTTGTAGCAGTTTGAGAAACCTCCAAATAGCTTTCCATAGTGGTTGGACCAGTTTGCATTACCATCAGCAGTGTAGGAGAGTTCCTTTTTCTCCACATCCTTATCAACATTTGTTGTTGCTAGTTGTTTGAAGATGTGCCATTCTCACTGGGGTGAGGTGGTATCTCATTGTGGTTTTAATTTGCATCTCCCTTATTACGAGTGATGTTGAACATTTTTTCATATGCTGGTTGACCATCTGCATTTCCTCTTTGGAGAAGTGTTTTTTTTTTAGCTTTTCTGCCCATCTTTTGACTTTATTTTTGTTGACTTTCATCAGCTTTTTTGTATATCCTTGTGGTCAGTCCTTTATCATTAGTATTGTGTGCAAAATTTTTCTCCCAATCAGTGGATGTCTCTTTTGTGTAATGTCTGTTTTGCTGTACAGAAGCTCTTTAACTTGATGTACTCCCAGCTGTTTATCCTTTTCTTCATTATCCTTGTTTTGGGTGTTGTAACTTTAAAGATGTTACTGAGGTGTGTAGTGTTTCACCCACCTTTTCTTCCAGATATTTTATGGTTTCAGGTTTTATGTCTAGGTCTTTAATTCACTTTAAGTTGGTTTTTATGCATGGTGCGAGGTGATCTAGCATCATTTTTTTGCACATAGCAGCCTAGTTTTCCCAGCACTATTCATTGAACAAACTTTCTTTGTTCCATAGCATATTCTTTGCTCCTTAGTCAAAGATTAGTTGTCCATAAACATGTGGGTTTATATCTGGCTTTTCTATTCAAACCTACTGGTCTGTATGTCTATTCTTGTTCCAGTACCATGCTGTTTTGATTATTATGGCTTTGTAGTATAACTTGAACTCTGGGAGTGTGATGCCTCTGTTCTCTTTCATTTTAGTCAGCAGAGTTTTGGCTATTTGAGATTTTTTGGTGGTTCCATATAAATCTCATCAATATTTGTCCTATGTCTTTGAAGAATTTTTATTGAGATTTTTATTGGAATAACATTAAATCTGTATATAGCTTATGGTAGGATGCCATTTTAATGATGTTAACTCTTCTGATCCATAAGCAGGGAATGTCTTTCCATTTCTTTGTGTCTTCTTGTATTTCTTTTAACAGCATTTCATAACTTTCTTTGTATAGGTCTTTTACCTCTTTTGTTAGGTATATTCCCAATTATTTGATTTTTTGGTTTCGATTGTAAAGGGGATTTTTTTTTAAATTTCCACTTCTTCTGATTGGTTGTTTGTGTATAAGAAGGCCAGACTTTGGTGTGTTGATTTTATATCCTGCAACCTTACTATGCTGGTTAATTGTTTTGATTAGTTTTTCTTTGAAGTTTTTAGAGTTTTCCATATAAATTAACATATCATCTGCAAATAAATAGTTTTATTTCTTCTTTCCCTTTTTGGATTCCTTGTATGTCTTTTTTCCTTTCTTATGCTCCAGCTAGCACTTCCAGTATTACGTTGAAAAGCAGTAGTGATAGTAGACATCCTTGTCTTGTTCCTAATCTTAAAGGAAATGCTTTCAGCTTTTCTCCACTGAGGATAATATTGGCTGTGGATTTGTCATATACGACTTTTATCATGCTGAGGTATGTTCCTTCTAGTCTAAGGATTTTGATATAGATGCTGAACTTTGTCGAATGTCTTCTCTGCATCTATTGATATGATTTTATGTTTTTTATTTTTCTATTGGTTGATGTGATGGATTATGTTAATTGATTTTCAGATGCTGAACCATCCTTGTTGCTTCTGGAATAAAACCCACTTCGTTGTGGTGTATTATTTCTTTAATGCATTGCAGGATTCTATTAGCTGAGATTTTATTGAGGATTTTGCATCAGTGTTCATTAGGGAGACTGGTCTGAAGTTTTCTTTTTTTGTGTTGTCTTTGTTAGGTTTTGGTATCAGTGTGCTTTCTCCTGATATATTTTGGTGCTCCTTCATTTGGTGGGTGTATGTTAATGAGTGTTATGTCTCCTTGTATTGTCCCCTTAATCATACTGTAGTGGCCATCTGTGTTTCTTTTAACCTTTTTTAGTTTGAAAGTCTATTTTATCTGAATAAGTATAGCTGTTCCTGCCTTCTTTTTGGTCCACTGCTTGTAGGATTGTTTTCATCCTTTTACTTTCAATCTATTTTTATCTTTTGTAGTTAGATATGTTTACTGGAGACAGCAGAGGGTTGGGTTCTGTTTTTTTTAATCCAGCCTGCAACTCTGTGTCTTTTTATTGATTAGTTTAAACCATTTACATTTAGAGTTAAATACTGATACACTGGCACCTACATTTGCCATTTTGTTTGTCTTCTTATGCTTTTATTCTTTATTTTAATCTGTTCTTATTTACCCCTCAGTTGGCTTTGGCTTAAGGATTTCCTGTAGTATTTTTTTGGAGTAGGGGTTTAGCCATGACAAAATTGTGGAGTTTCTGTTTGTCTGAGAATGTCCTTATTCTTTCTTCATACAGGAAGGAAAGCTTCACAGGTTAGATTATTCTTGGTTGGCACTTGATGACTTGTAGTTTGTTGAGAATGTCCCTCCACTCTCTTCTTGCTGTAGTGTTTCTTCAGAGAAGTCTGATGTCAGCCTGATTGGTTTTCCTTTACAGGTTATTTGTTTCTTCCTTCTTGTTAATCTCATTTTTTTCCTTGTCTTTAAGTCTTGGGAGCGTTACTATTATGGGTCTTGCTGTATTTCTCCTTTCATCACGGTACTTTGGTGTTCTTCTTGCTTCTTATATGTCTATTTTCATCTCCTTCATACTTGGGAGGTTCTCTTCAATGATCTCTGTGAATATTTTCTTAATTCCTTAGCCTTTCACCTTACCTTTTGGGAGGCCTATAACTCTGATATTTCTTTTCCTCATGGTGTCAGGTAGCTTTCAGCATGTTTCTTCCTTCCTTTTCCTTTATACTTACTTCTCTTTCCTATTCTGTTTTGATTTTATTTCTGTCTTTGAGGGTGCTGATTCATTCTTCCATTTCATCTGATCTGTTTTCACTGCTTTTCCCAGAATTCTTTATCTCCTCCAGTAGTCTTTTAATCTCCTGCATTCCTTTTATTTCCTTTTTCAAGGTCTCGTTTTCATTCTTCAGTTCACTGATTTGTCTCATATCATTTTTCCATTTCATCTTCTTTATGTTTGTTAATATGATTCTAAAATCTCCACCTGACCGGCTGAGCAGTTCTTCTATGTCTTTGTTGATTTCTGGTGACTGATCTTTTTGTGGTGTAATTTTTCCCTGTGGGCTTGCTAGGGTATTTGTGTTTTTTCTTCTCCCTGTCATTTATTTCCCAATGCTTTCTATGCATTGAGACACAGTGTTGCTAGTATTGGCCAGCATTTCTTCTGGGTGTTCCCTCTGGGGTAGCCAAGGACTGGCATTCAGACTGGGTCAAGGACTAATGCGCCAATCCTCCACAAGGGTGATGATGTTGTGAATATGATGGTGAGTTTGATGCTGTATTTGGTAACTCCCTCTCTCTGTGTTTCCACTGTTCTAAGGGGGGGTTGTGAGCGTCCTAGTTTGTGATTGTGATTGGGGGATGCAAGTGCTTGGGGCAGTAGTCCCTCTGTTGCCTGATTTCATTAGGGGATCTTTGTGGTCTTTTGGCTGTAGTCCCACCCCTGGCCTGGTTTCTAATTTGAATGAGGTACTGTACACTAGTAGTGGTGGCTCTGCCATTATGCAAACTCTAGTTATGACTGGGTGCTGTGTGCTGCCTGTCATTGCAGGGTAACCCTGCCTGTTCCAGAGAGCTGCAGCCCCACCTTACCACCCTTGTTACTGGCTGGGAGCTGAGTGTTTACTGTAACCCCTGCCAGGCCACCCTGGGGTGTGAAGGTGCAAGCTTCCCCACTTAGGGCAGAGACCTGCTTATTTTAGAGCTTTCAGCTATGCCCTGCCACCCTTCCAGCTAATGGCTGGGAGTTAAGCACTTAGTGCAAGCTGTCATGCCCCACCAGTCAAGGTCCATCTTCTATAGGGGTTTAGAACTATTTAAAGAGACTACCTCCGTTTGAATTTATTGTCATCATCTTGCTTCAAAAACTGCATTTAATGTTTGTCTCCCTCTTATAATAGTAATCTCACTAAAGAGAAGCAGGTAATTATCAAATTTTACCTTTTAAGGTATCTTAGTTTATTCTTTACTCATATTCCTACTGTCCTTACAAAACCTAGGCTGAGCATATCATATCTGGAATTCACTAATTACCCTTCTGTGATCTGTCAAGTGAACCGACTTGGCGTTGATTACATATGTGCTAGATTTTTCTAACTCGATTCTAAGCATCTTAAAGACAGCAATCATGACATACTTTATAGCATCTTTTATAAGCAGTCGAAGGATATATAGCAGTCACTAAACACAGAGTGAGATATAACTGATTGGGCATAGCAAATACTCTAATATGCTATTAAAAGATAACAGGGTGACTTTGGGATAGTAGCTAATTAGAAAAAAAAAGGTATCAATTCCATCTTTTAGAACACATTTCTATCCATTCTCATCTCTTTATCTTTAATCTAATCTTTCATGTCAGTTTCCATTACAAAGCCTCCTAAATGATCTCTCTGCCTCTATAAGTATCAATCTTTTTCAATCTCAGAACTTCAATAACTTTTTTCTAAAATACAAATTGGACCATGTCTCTCATATTTTAAAAACTACAAAGTGAAGTCTAACGATATTAACAAAATACACAGGGTCATCAAAAACTGGCTCCCATTCATTGCATTATCCTTAAAATAAGCATTATTTTAAGGCCTACCATACCACAAATGCTCCACTTAAGTTAAATTAAACAAATGAATTTATCTTTGGATAAGTATGAGGTCACATAAACATGAAGGCAAACTTTTCACTCAGTTCGCTTTACAGACTAGGCTATCCTCATGAAGCCCTAAATTGGTTTCAAGCCACATCAATGTCATACTCAAAGGAATTTAAACACATTTTTCACAGTGTCATTCTTAAGACAAAATGAACTAGTTTAACCTGTGACTCATTATCTGGCCCCAAATCATCAGACATAGTTTAATTTAGCAGTTACATTTTGGTCTTGGCACACTTAGGTCTGAGCAGAAAAAATGCAGGGGATCTTGTTTCACTTGTACCAGAAGAGACCAGGTCTTTGAGTATTGACTAATTCTGCTGTTATTTCACCCGAGAGAGGTGTATGCCTACCTTCAACTCTGTCCAGCACATACTCACACTATTTTCATATGGCATGGGAATCTGGCCGTCACTCCCCAACCACTAACCTTTACGCTGAAGGTCACCACAGTGCCATTCGCCAGTCCCGCATAGAGGATTCGCCATCTGCTGTGGAGGCAGAGAACCCGGTCTTCCAACTCTAACTGTTCCATGCTTTCTCGAGTCTGATAAAAGTGCACAATATCTAATCAGCATATGTTAACAGCAAAATGAAAAGGACAAACAATTCTGCTGAAAATAAAGTGTGAAATGATCTTTAATAGGTAAAAAAATGCAGCATCCTCTGTTTTTTTTCACCTTTGCAACCTTGATCAAAGACCCTCAAGCTATATGTAGTAGTGGAAACAAATAGAAATTCTAATAATACTACCACACTCAAATTTGGGATGTAGAAATTTTTCAAAGAACAGTTTGTATTGAGTCTTACTCTCTTCAATTTGACATAAGAAAGGGAAATGAGGATTATAGTAGTATATAGTATGTCAAATATAGCAGTATATTTGATAATTGCATTAATCAAATACATGTTTTCCTACAATTGATTTCTATTTCACTCTTTCTCAAATCCTCCATAATCATCTGTAGTTACCCAAGAAACTTATAATAAACAGAATCTCAGACTTCATGATTAATACCTGTCATTCTAATTCAGTAGATCTAGAATATGTATGTTTAAATTTTTCCTTAGTAATTCCTATGCCTATCCAAACTAGCTAAGCACTAACTTTCATAAAACAATTTCTAGAACTGGTTTTTAGTAACAAATCTTATTATCTAGAACCTAGTTTATGGGAGATAACATGGTAAGCACTCAAGATATATTGCTGATATTACATTAAGTAACTAAAGGTTCAAGTGTAGCTTTTTTTTTTTTAAGATTTATTTATTTATGCATACAGAACTAGGGTACAAGGCAGAGGGGCAGGGGAGGTGAGAGGATTCACCAGAGACAGAGTGGGGAGCAGAACAGGCTGACTGACGAAGTACACTGCTGAGGGGAACAGCGGGCAGGTCAGGAGAGGTCTGCTGTGCCATGTGGATCACCAGGGTGGGTATCAAACTCATGCTAAAGTGGCTTTAGCTTCTTAGTGCTGTGCTTTAACCTGCTGTACCACCAAGAAGGGCCGCAGCTGTTTTTTGGGTTTTTTTTTAAGATTTATTTTTATTTATATATGCGTACAAAAACTGGGGTGTAAACCAGATATGCAGGTGATGAGAGGAGTCACAGAGATAGAGTAGGGAGCAGAAAAGACAGATGTACTGAAACACACTGCTGAGGGGAGCAGTGGGTAAGACAGGAGAGGTCTACTATACCATGTGGGTCACCTACATGGCCAGGGATTAAACTCATGTAGCAGTGGCTGCTGATAGATTGATAGTGCTGAGACTTTAATCCCTGTACCATCAGGGAGGCCCCAAAGTATATTTTTAAATAGGTTCGGATATTAATCAAGATGGTTATAAGTGGGTAGGATGGGACAAGCTATGGAAAGGACAAGATGTAGGCTGTAAAAGTTTTCAATCTCTTCAGCTACTTTCCTTTCACACCTAAACAGTCTTTCAAATTATTCTATCTCCAGCCACAAAATTATAAATATAAATGTTATATGAAGAAATTGTGAAATAAACAAAAAGACAGTAAATATGCCCAATGTTAAGATTCCTGTTGCCTCGAATTAACTCACATGTGGTCTTTTTGTAATTTTAGAAGGGAAATTAATTATACGGTATAAAAAATAACTGTATGCATGCAACAACATACCTGAATTTCAGACATGGAAAGTAAAAACAGACATGAAAGAACACATGCAGTAGTCTCTTAGTTATATGAACTTCAAGCACAGAAGAAAGTAATCTATAATAACAGAAGTCAGAACAATGGTTATCTTGAGGGAAGGATGGTCACTGGAAGGGCTAAGGGAACCTTCAGGGGATGGTTTGGGCTACCCTTTGATTCTGTGGTGGCAACACAAATGTATACCTATGTGACAATTCACCAAGCTGTAAACCTACAATTTCAAAAACTGGCTAACAATGTTTTTCACTATGTATAGTCTCATTGTAACAAATACTATTCATGTTAAAACCTTAATTAAAAACAGTGAAAAATGCTTTAAGAGTTTTTGCTAATTTTATAATGGTACTGAATTTTGTTTTAACTTTCATCTGTTAACAAGATTGTACTGTGTTTAAAGTTTTTTAGTATTTTCTCCTTTTAAGAATTTTTTTCTCTTTTCCCAATTAGGTACAGGAATTTTAGCTTTTTTTTTACTTAAGGTTAACTCTTGCCAAAATTTATTTATAATTTTTTAAACAGCTTTAGATATTATTTCCACATAATAAAAGTCATAATGTAAAATGTACATTTTAAGTTTTGGTACGTTATATAGTTATGCAACTATTATCATTTCAACCTTTAGTTTTGAAGGTAATTCCAAAAAAAGTTATATTGTATCCTGTCAGACAACGTAGCTGCCATCAGACAGAGTTTTGCTTTTGTAGAATTTAATATAAGAATATTTAGCCAGCAGTTTTTTATATCAGGCTTCCATCTCCTATCAACTACATTGCTTCATATTAACAGTTTGTTCCTTTTTGTTGCTAATACTATTCCACTTTTTACATACATTTACTTTATGTACTATATTCACCCTACTAAATGATGGATATATTATTTTTATTATTTTCCTATAAAGCATAATCATTAATTTTGGAGATGTATGTCTTCACTCTTTTTGATCAGTTTGGCTAAATCTTTTTATTTTATTTACTTTTTGAATTAGTATCTAGTTTTACTAATTTTTCCTAAACAAGTTTTGCTAAATAAATCAGAAGCCTAGACACCACCACCTCAACTTCCTCAGAAAAAAAATAAAAAGAAGTAGGTTGAATAAAGCACTTGTGCCTTGCCTGTATTTAACAATAAAACAGTCAAAAGCAATTCAGTATTATCACTTTTGTCTGGACCCACTTACCTTAACATTATAGCACCGAATGGTGTGATCACTGGAACCAGTGTAAAGGGCAGCATTCTTCCCAGCGGTTTGAGTAACTAAGAGGCAGTTCACTTTGGAGGTGTGTCCCTCAAAGACACCAATGCACTTCCGATTCTAAAGTCAAGTACAGAGCAGAGAATACTTGTAGAAATAGAAAATTAGATTACTTGTGGCTATAGAAGATTAGAACTCTCAACTAAGAAATACGAAAACACAGTTCACTGCTATATCATTAATACCTAGAATAGTGTCTACTATACAAGAGGTGTTTAGTTAATATTTGTTCGCTGAAGGGCCCTGTAAACAGTCACATATATTGAGGTTCCTGAAATTATATGTTAGTTGGGCCATACCAAGAAGTACACTGGGCAATTTTAATTAATGAGAACTTTAATTAATGCCTAAATTAATTAGGGCAAGACTCTAACATAGAGCCAAAGATTCAGCAACTCCCAACTGTAAACTATAGCTCATTACCCATGTAAGTTCCTACATTAAATCAGTAACTTAAAAAGATGCTTTATAATATTCAAAGGCAGATCAGGTGCTATCACAGGGCCTTGTGATCTAGGTGCAGTTTTATAAGGGAACATATCAATTGATATAAGCACACTGACATAACACTTAGTATATACATACACACACATACACACACACTCACCCTGTAAATTAGAGCTGAAGCCAATCCCCCATATCTTACACTAATACCTCCTGGTACCAGCATTGTGTCCTGTAGTCATGCCCATTGCCTTACATCATTAAGCTAAAGGAAACCATATACCTGCTGCCTATAACAAACACATTCCCTTGGCTCATTACCTAACCTTTTCACAGCGTCAGTAATTCCAATACTTTAAAGGTGTTCAGATGACAGAATTTTCCTAAAGTTTCTTGGCTATCGTTATTAGACAGAATTAATTTGATATAGACATATTCAAACATTCATTCTGTGAAGTGACACTAAAAAGGGATGAGTTATACAAAGTGTGATATAAGAGAGGAGGGCTGCTCTCCATAATAACTCAATCAATTTCAGGGAGAATGAATGTCTACTCTTAAGATTTCCCCTATATTCATTCCATTCCAATTCTATTATGTAGCAGACATGTGACCTCATCACCAACTCCAGGGCTGTGACCTGGCTGTTGCAATCTCATCTCCCTTGCCCAGATATCTATTCAGGGAGTAAAGGACTGGACCTTTTTTCTGGTCTTGGGGACCCCAGGAACTCCTGGCATCTACATGTGAGCAAACTAGCTTTAAGAAGAGAAAGCAGAGTGGAAAGACAGAAAGCATCTAAAGTCAGTCTAAAACCCAACTATACCACTGAACAGCAAATAAAGTCCCCTATTTAAGGGAGTTGGACTCTTTTACACCTGTAACCAACTAAAATATTCAAACTGATTTGTCAACTTACCACCAGATTGTAAGCTCGGACAGTTTTATCTGCTGAACAGGTATACAATAAGTTTCCAAATATTTGAATTGCATTAACTGCAGCTTGGTGCCCCTCAAAACTCCCTTCTGTGGGTTCATCATCATCTCCTGGCTCTGAAGAAATTTCTAGAAAACAAGAATGTGTTTCAGAGACTTGTCCGCTTGTGTCTTTAAAGATCCTAAAAAATCAAAACCATTATATAAAAAGTGGTCCTAACATTCTTCTTCAAGCCAAATTTCCCTACCAAAATGCCATATTACTTACTCATGAGTGTCATGAGAAGGCTAAAAAGGTCTTCCACTTAGAAAAATGGAAGATACTTTTGAGTGACACACAGGAGACATCCAGTCTCCTGTGCTGCCACTTATTTCCTTGTATAAGGAATTATTCTTTAAAAGCAGTTCCTAAAATAAACTCATACCATTCATAGTAACACAGATGGAGATACAGTGGATTATGCTCAGTGAAATAAGCCAGAAGCAAAAAGAAAAATATCAGATGGTTTTCACTTATAGGAAGAATATAGGGGAAGCAAATAAGGGATCAGGGGGGAAAAATAATAACAATAACAACAAAAAAAGCAGGCAACTATAAATCAAAGACATTCTTGCAAGGGAGGGAGAGAGAAACAGGATCAAAACTGGGGCAGGAAAAGTACAAGGGACTATGTGATGGTCACAGGTGAACTGTTGGTAGAAATTTTATGGGGAATACACCTGAGAAAAAAGTATACATTGTACAAAATGAACAATGATGTAATATATAGAGACAGATAAACACACACATATAAATTTTAGAAATAAAAGCAGTTCCTTCCAAAAAACCTAGAATAACTAAACCTTAATGCTACTGATAGCTGGTTGAATAAATGAGCCAGAAAAGTGAGATATGAGTCAGAAACGGAAAAGACCAGAATATAAGGATTTAGGGCAACTTTAGGTGACAGCCCTCAAACCCTACTCTAAAAGCATAATTAAACAGAGTTAAGCCCTGGCACTAGTATTTACAAGCTTTTTTTCTGTGGTTAACTTAAATAAAACAGGGAACAACCATATACCTGAAGAGTGCTTTGATCCTTTTATAGAAGAGATCACCGTCTGAGTTTCTGCCACACTACAAAATAACAGCAAAAGTCTTAATATATGTGTGAACACGTCAGGTAATAACTTAAATTTTCCTGACTCAAACATTCTAACTCAAACAATGAGCAAAGTAGAAGTGATGATATAAGACATTAGTTTCTCCACTTAAATTTTTACAGAAAGGAGACAAAACAGTAAATATAGATGACCCAAAAGAGGAAGGGGGAAAATCTCCATTGGCAAGGTTTGACTCTACAATATTTTACATCCATTTGAGTCTTTTAAAAATTTTTATTCATAACAAAAATTTTACTTTTTTAAGAAAGAAAGAAAGCTATTCTGATTGGACCAATCCATCTTTACCTTACAGGGATGCCATCTTTATTGCGAGTGACAATCTCACTGGTTGAGCTTACTTCATCACAGCCAGAACGAGAGGTTTCTAATGAGTTTTGCTCTGTGGAATGCCAAACATCCTTTTTAGATGGGCTGTCCGGCTTTTCTTCTCCAGATTCAGAAGAATCGATAGATACTACTACAAACTGAGGATTAGGGATTTCTAAAACTTCCAGAGATGAGTCACTATCTGGCTCATCTCTGACACTCTCTTGTTCTGGGCCAGTTCTATCTTCCCAGGTGGAGGTTGTTACTTTCCCCCCTTTAGGTGACTTTCCAGTTTTCACTTTTCTTACAGGCTTAGCAGTAAATATATCCTGTTCAGTGTCACTGTTCTCAGGTACATGGGTGGCCCGTAAAGTTTTCTTCTTCCTAAGTTTCTTCTTTTTCTTGTTTCCTCTAGTTTCAGCTGATGTCAGAGTAGACTCTGCCTGTTGTTCAGGCTGGTCAGCTGGAGAGTGAGGCTCTTTCTCTATAGGGGTTTCTGAAGCAAAGGACAATCTTGGAAAAATACTGGTACAGGCTTCAGACCCACTGTTTCCCTTGGCTGGCTCTTCGCCTTCTTTATTTAGGGCAGGAGAACCAATTGATTGGGAAGAGGGGACATTTTCTCTGTTTCTGGAATTTCTTTGCTCCATGGAAAACTTCAGTTCTTGGCTAGGTTCATGGAAATTTTCCCTTAGTTCTGATACAGACAATGGTGGTGTGATCTCTGGATAAACTGGACCACTGTCAGTGATCTCTCCTGATTGAGAAGAAAAAAATTATTGCATATTTCATTGTGCCTGCTTTTTATAGTCATAAACTACAAATATTGATCATTGATGAATCTTTGACATTCTGATGCTATGTTTTCCAAACCAAGACAATGAAACTATTCATCTCACTCGTCAGACCTTTCTATTGCAGACCTTAGTAAGCTTTGTCTTGCAGTAGTCTCAAAAATGGCATACATTTTCTTAGACCCTAGCAAAGCACCCAACGGGCAGGGGTTATTTTTATTGATCTTCTTTCTAATTTGAAAGTCTACGTATCAAGCATTTTTTAGTAGATACTTCAATATCTGTACTTCAATATCTACTTAAATAAAGTGTTTTCACCTTCATAGTTCATAAATTTTACTGCTTGACCTGCACATCATCCAATTTGGCTATATACTACTAGTTAAGTTAGCTCACTTGAAAAATATCTATTTTTTTTACTGTTATTTCATATGTAAGAATTTAAACATGAAATAAGCACAAAGATATACAATGTAGTGTTATACAGAGTACTAAAGAAGAGGAAAAGTCCTATTTTCAAAGGAGATCATGTAAACTACTATATATACATGATTATGCAACTTCTCAAATACTATGCAAATACTAAAATAAAAATGTTTAGATTAATTTTTTTATGACACAGGAAAATGATCATGATATATTACATGGAAAAAATGTCAAGTTATAACAATCATTTCCCTTTGTATAAAGTCTACATGTAAACACATTTATGATTTAAGACTGAAATACATCTTTATATTTTTACAGTTCTCCAACATATTACAATACTGTGAATTACTTTAGCAATCAGAAGAAATGATAAAAGCTATTTTTTTTAAATTAGCTTAAAAAGTGAACAGTGACTATTCAGTTTTTAATGCTAAATACTTTCATATAAAAGTGATAAAATTCAACATAAAATATACACTTGATAGAGATTTCTAGATTTGTGTTGTAATAGGCAGTAAAACCTAATATCGTTCTTCAGACCTCTTCAGTTTTGCCCAAAACAAACAAAAAAAAACCACACAATACCAGTTTATTTACTTTTTTTTTTAAAGAATTATTCCTTTATTGTAAGATTTGTATTTATTTTGTGTAGAAGAACTAGGGTATAGGCTAAAGGTGCAGGGGAGGTGGGGTAAAGAGGATTCACTAGAAATGGATTAGGGAGCAAAACAGGTGGATTTACTGAAATACACTGTGAAGGCAAGCAGCAGGTGAGACGAAAGAGATCTGCTGTACCTTAGGTGGGTCAGCTCTCTGGCTAGGAATTGAACTCAGGCCATTGCAGTGGGCCGTCATGGTGGTAGTGCTGAGACTTAACCCCTAGGCCACCAGGGAGGTCCCAGTTTACTTGCTTTTTATTTTATTTTTTTAAAGATTTGTTTATTTATGCATATAAGAACTGAAGTTCAGGCCAGAGGTACAGGGACTGAGAGGATTCATCAGAGACAGAGTGGGGAGCAGAACAGGCAGATGTACTGAAATACATTGCTGAGGGGAGCAGTGAACAGGTCAGGAGAGGTCTGTCGCACCATGTGGGTTATCTCCCTGGCCGAGGATTGAACTTGTGCTGCAGTAACTGTGGAGAATATTTTAGTGTTGTGCATTAACCTGTTGTGCCACCAGGGAGGGCCTTTATTTGCTTTTATTTAATTTTCAAGGTAACACTATCTGGTCATGCAAGCTTCAGATAGATTTTAAATACCTTAGTAGTTATTTCCAAATGGTAAATAGGTAAGTGTTATTTTATGAAAATTTCTCAAAATCACCCAAATTCCTATTTGGAATTCAAATCATAGAGCTGTTCTGCCTTTTGTCATTGACATCTACCTCTCAGGTTTATTATATCAGTCGTAATTCCTAGAAAGAAATCCAGATGTATCTTATCTAGAAAACTAATCAACATCGACCACCTTTATCTCACAAAGACCAATTATTTCTCTGTACTAATCCTAATAAACAGAATCTCATAGGTGTTAATATAAAGTCAATTTGGTAATTCTAGATTAAATTAGGGGAAAATTTACTGAAATTTAAAAATTCTCCTGAATGAAGGAAATTTCCAAAAAAGTTCATCATAGTGCCTTTAGATTTTTTTAAAAAAAGATTTATTTATTTATTCATTGCATAGAACTGAGGTATGGGGGGGGGGTGAGGGAATTCACCAGAGACAAAGTGGGGAGCAGAACAGATGGATTTATTGAAATACACTGCTGAGGGGAGCATGGGTGAGAGGTAGGCCGCGCCGTATGTGGGTCAGCTCCCTGGCTGGGATCAAAGTCAGACCATTGTGGTTATAGCACTGAGACTTAACTCCTAGACCACCAGGGAGGCCCCATTACATTTAGATTTAATGGGTTAAGTATGACTTTTCATCACTATTATAGAACAACCCTAGGCCCACTACAAGCTTGCTCTGCACCCAGAGAAAAGTTTACATACTATTAGCTTGCAGTAATTCCTTGGTCACACTGCAGGCTGAGCTTCCTGAGACAGCATTCACGTTCTCATCTTGCTCAGGAGACATGGGTTCTTGTTTAATCTGAACTGATGAGTCTGGAGCAGGAACACCTCCATGGACTTGGAAAGTAGGAGGTGGGGTTACTTGGAGAGGGGCTCCAGTGGATGATGGAGACACATGAGAAGATGGAGACTCCAGAAACACTGGGAAAAAGGGAGTAGGCAGCAGCGTAGCATCAGCAGACGTCTGAGGTCTACTGTTCCTTTGTTCTTGGATAAGGCTACAGGGAACCTGGTCTGGATGCTCAGAAGGTTCGTATGTCTCTAGAATAGGAAACAATGCAAAAACGTCACCTGAAACGTCATTAACTTTGAGCCAGTTAGTATTTTTAAAAACTACAAGAGAATTTTAAAGTTTCTCAAAATAAATTGTCATATAATCACCAGAGACAGAAGAGGAACTAATATTCCAATGTTCAAATTTTAAGTGATTTATGCAAAGTCCTATAGGCACATACAAAATGACATCATTTGAACTCATGTCTTGATTCCAAACTAAGACACTATATAGCATGTGATCTCCCCAAATACCTTGTAATCCCTGTAGAATCTGTATTCTATGGGTCCTCAGTGCACTCATCTCCATAGTTATCTAAAAAGAGAGTATTTTGTTAAGCATTTTGATATTCAATTTTTGAGATGACCCATTTTATTAAATGTTCCATCTGCTATTACCTGCTGCTTGAGCATAAGTAGCCTCTGAACTTCAACGTAAGCTGTCTGAAGTGCTGCACGGGCTTGCAAAAGATTGTTATCCATGCACTGTAATGATTTGCTTAGTTCTTCCTCCCTTAAAGAAATATTCAGCAGTTGGTCAACCTGAGAACGTTCTGTCAAGAAAAAAATATATATATCATAAGGTTCAATTTGATACTGGAGGCTTTTTTTTTTTTTTTAAGATTTATTTATTTATACATACAGGCCAGAGGTGCAGGGGTAGTGAGAGAGTTCAGCAGAGAAAGGCAGATCATCAAAGTACACTGCTGAGGGGAGCAGCGGGCGGGTCAGGAGAGGTCTGCCACGCCATGTGGATCACCTCCGGGGCAGGCGGGGATCGAACTCATGCAGAAGTGGCTTTAGCTTTTTAGTGCTGTGCTTTAACCCGCTGCATTGAGGCTTCTTTTTAAATAATATAGCTCCTCCAAAGATGGAGCCACATCAAATTATCTAGGATAAGCCTTTATTCTCCCCCCACCCTTCCTGCAATCCCCAATAGGTCAGTAGAGACTCATCCAAACTCATAGTCAAGCCAGATGCTGCCAGAGCTAGAATCAAAAGTGACAACTGGTAAGATGGTGTCTTCTAACTAGAACAACCACTATGGGAAACTGTTGGGAGGTTCCTCAAACTGCCAAACATGGAGCTTCCATATGACCCAGCAATCCCACTCCTAGGTATTACCCAAAAGACACAAAAACACTGATTGAAAAAGATACCTGCACCCCCATGTTTATTGCTGCTTTATTCACAATTGGAAAGACATGGAAACAGCCCAAGTGTCCAAAAATGGATGACTGGATTAAAAAGATGTGGTACATATACACGGAATATTACTCAAAAACCAAAAAAATAAATAAATAAACACATATCTTTTGCAGCAACATGGAGGGAAATGGAAAAGACTATGCTTAGTGAAATAAGCCAGAAAGGAAAGGAAAAATACCAGATGGTTTCTCTCATAGCAGGAATATAATGGAACAGGCGAGAAAATAATGATAATGATGAACAGCTATATACCAGAGACATTTTGTGGGGGTGGAGTGGGGAACGGGATGAAGAACAGTTGGGGGAGAGAAATGCACTGAACTATGGTGATGGCACATGGGTGATTTGGTGATGGGAAGCCGCGAGGATTGCAACTGAGATGGAAAAATGCACAAAAAGATGAAAAAAAAAAAGATAATGTCTTCTAGATTCAAGTACACCACCACTGCATAATACTACTTTACCTAATTATCATCTTCTATCATTAGCTTTTCAAGAGAAGTTGCTGTTTCTGGCAAATCAATTCCCATTCTTCTTTTATCTACCAACATCTTTACCCAGGGTTTTGTTTACTTTGGATACAGGACCTGAACTGCTTGTGTTCTGCCCTCACAATCCATATTTTCCTAGTCTGTGTGTTACTGAAAAGATTCTCCTTACTGTGGGCCAGGGGTCCAATGACTATAATGGAGAATTGAGGGTGCCTTGTGGTGGGTGGCACGATGTGGTGTGGTACTATACCTTTGAAAAAGTCTGTACCCCTAAATCATATATAGTTTTCCTCAACAAAAAATGAGACACTTTTGGAGCCCTCCTTGGTGGCACAAAGGGTTATGTCTCAACATTATAAGGCTCAAGGCAGCCACTGCCATGCAAGTTCAATCCCTGGCCAGGCAAGGGACTAGCCCACATGGCATACCAGACCTCTCTGTTTCACTAAAAAATTAGTTTGTCTTTACTAGTGTAGGCTTCCTTAAAAAAAAAAAAAAGACACACACACACACACGTGTGTGTGTGTGTGTGTAATGGCTTTGAGATAGTACCTTTAAGTTATTTTATTTATTTATTTTTTAAAGATTTATTTATTTGTACATACAGAACTGGGGTACAGGCCAGAGGCTTAGGGGTGGCGAGAGGCTTCACCAGAGACAGAGTGGGGAGCAGAACAGGCAGATCGACGAAGTACACTGCTGAGGGGAGCAGCGGGCGGGTCAGGAGAGGTCTGCTGCGCCATGTGGTCACCTCCGGGGCAGGCGGGAATCGAACTCATGAGGAAGTGGCTTCAGCTTCTCAGTGCAGTGCTTTAACCTGCTGCGCCACTAGGGAGGGCCCTAAGTTATTTTATTTTTTTAAAGGTTTATGCATACAGTACTGGGGTACAGGCCAGAGATTCAGGGGGTGAAAGGACTCACCAGAGACAGAGTAGGGAGCAGAACAGGAAGATGTACTGAAATACACTGTTGAGGGAAGTGGTGGGTGGATCAGGAGAGGTCTGCCACGCCATGTAGGTCACCTCCCTGGTCACGGATCAAACTTGTGCTGTAGTGGCTGCGATAGCTTCTTACTGCTATGCTTTAACCCACTGCGCCACCAGGGAGGGCCCAAGTTATTTTAAATAGAATGTTCTGCTGTGTATATCTGTCATCTTCATGTTTGTCTATTTCCCATTCAGTATGTCAAGACCTCTCCCCTAAATATCAACTAGATCATTCTAGTTGGTATCTCTAATGTCCTTTTAACTCCAAGGATACAAAACAAAATGTCATTCTCTACCCTCCTACAACTCTCAGGAATTTTCTAGTTCTATAGGTGATACCACCATCCACACAGCTCACCCACTCAGAACTAGGGTCATACTTGATTGCTACCTTATCCAACATAGCCCACCACCCAATGCTCAGCCAATCACTTCCCTTCCTAGTCCTTGTACTGAAACTCATTTAGAATCAGTAGAAAACAAAAGGTGTACAAGCATATCAGTCAAGAAATCACATTAATAACTTCTCTCCTTAATTCATATAGAAAAATAATCAAGGTGTTTCAAAATGAAAAATGGGAGAAATGTTCATAATTTACCAAGAGGAGCAAACTTTTTACTAAATGGCCTCTTTTTTTTTGCATTAAAAGGTCCCAAAAGTCCCTCCCCACCACTGACTCACCCACCTACACCACATCGATTTTTTAATCACTGCCAACTGATTGATTTATTGGGAGCAAATTAATAGACCATTTTGGAAACAAACCAAAAAAAGTCCCAGAGATTTTCTGGCTTTATACTGAAATCAATTTATCCACGACATTTAAACTTTTGCTTACAGGTTTATATGACATGATTCTATACCTGGAACTGAATGTAGTAGAAAATTAAACTTTCCTATGCAAATAAGATGAGAAAGGGGAAAAAAAATAGCCAATCAGTGTTTGATAACTATAAGTTATACATAATGTCAAGTTGTCAAAAAGCTGAATTGATGTATGAACACTTTCTTTCTACATGAGTATTTTGCACTATACCTTTCTTTCCTTTAATTTTCCTTCTTTTGTTTTTCCTCTCAAGACTTGGAAGTTCAGGAGAAGATCCATCCTGTGGAGATAAAGAAGACCAAATGGTGTGTCTATGAAGGCCATTATCCAGAAGAGGAAAGAAGCATCAATTCTATGACAGTCATACATTATTCTTCATTATATATTATATTCTTCATCTCTAACAAGCTAGTATAAGTCTCATACACACGGTAAGAGCTCATGTACCTGTTGAATTAATATATCTGATTTAAAAAAAGATTCCAAAGTCAAGTACCTTCCTAGCACCTGCAGATGGGAAAATCATGAGGCTTAGACAAGGCATTTCAAGTTGTTAAGCAAGGGATAGATAGCAATACAGACAAAGCTGGTGATATATATATATATATATATATATATATATATATATATATATATGTCTGATTCATCTTGGCACAGTTTCTATATTAAATTTTAGCAAAAAGATCTTTATAACAAAAAACTGAACAGTCTATGAGACAAGCCCCAGCACAATCAGCTTTATCATAGAAAATCTCTCATTTGATAATGTCCACCAGTGTCAAAGAAGCAGAGTTGTAATTTGAACCCAGACCTACAAACCATGTCCTTGACTACTTGGCTATATTGGGTCAATATTAAGGAAATAGCCCATTCCCTCACAGTGCCAGATCCAAACTATATCACCACCAGCAACTCTTTCTTTCCAGAAATAGCTCCTGAGTGGGCTATTAGTGACAGAGAGGTCAGAAAGGAAGTGGTATGAGTGAAGGAATGGATTTTGAAAGGGCCAGACTGAGTTACTACAGTACAAAAGATAGGTAATAGAGACTCAGAATATGTCTAAGACTATGCTCACGTAGATGCACTCTAACAGTACTACAACTACCTTAGTGTTAAGCCCACCAGTGCTGGATCCAGCAAGTATACATGACCTACAAATGGAACACTGGAATGTTTTTCTTCAGCAGCAGTTCAGAATGCATCATGGAAACAGATAAGGTTACAGTCGAAGATGTGTCTTACTCCTTGGTCAGGTGACACAAAGAATCACTGGCTTGGAGACAGACTAGTTTTAGAGATGACTTCATATTTTCCTAGTACTGTACATTCATATTTAATTACATCTAACTTAGTAGAATTACTAAGTGAAAGAAACTAGTAGGACAAGAATATGAAACCAAGAATAGAGACTCACATATCCTCTATTCCAGAGCAGAGAGAACCACAACCCCAGAAAGTAAAGAAAAATTAAACAATTAAATCCTTCTCATAATAATTAAGTCACTGCAAGAAACGGAATCATACTTACTCCAGTGGCTCTTCGTTTCTTTCTAATACCCTGGCTGTCATTTTGTTCAGCACCCGAGGTACAGCTACTATCTGTGGCTGCATCTGCCAAACTGGAGACTGCAAGGGCCGGGGATGCATTTGATGATAAAGAATTTCCTTCTCCATTACTCTCCTGGGCATTCTGATTCTCTGAAGGTGGTACAGGACTATCCTGACTGTTCAGGTCTTTTGCAAAATGCATCAAAGGTACAGCATGATCGGAAGATAACTGAGCACTATGTCGCCTTCGGGCAGTAATATTTTCAGCCCTTTCTGAGGCAGCCAGAGGTGTCACTTCCTGCTTGAGTCCCATGGTTGCGGCCCTCAATGAGTTACTGGGTGAAATTTGCTGAGGCTCGTTTTCTTTGCCTGTACCTTCCTCACTGAAGAAGTTATACATGGAAGGAGCCCTGTCCATGATCACGCTGCTCTCAGAAAGGCTTCGTTTCCTTGCCAACCCAGGGGATGAAGAAATGGAAATACCTTCCCACTGGAATCCTTCTAGATTGGACAGATCAGGTTCTCCATCCAAATCTAAGACCTCTTGCTCATTTTGAACTAGAGGCACCATTTCTATGCCAAACCTTGAAAGAAAGAAAAATCATCCATCAGACATGGTTGGAGGACGAGGGAACCACCTATTGTGCTGGGTTCTGTTAAGCACAGGGGTTACAGACATAAATAGGATGAGTTCTGATCTCAAGGAACTTACACTCTACTAAGAATGCCAGACATAAAGTAATCAACTATAAATACTGTAATATACCAAGTCCTTGAGAATGGTATACAACTGTGAGAATACATTTGAAGGAATAAAACATGAGGGTCTTATTTAATATGCAGATCCAACCCAACAACTAATATATAATCTTTTAACAGCAAGCAAAGCAAAACAAACAAAAATGTTTATCAGCATTCATATGAGCCAGGCTCTACACTAAGAACTTCTTAAACTCAGTAATACAAGTTATGGAAAAGAGAGGGGAGCACAATAAAATGTTATTTCGACAAGGACAGAAATTCAAGCTTGGAAGTCTATGTTATAATAATACAGCAGGATTATTTTCAAGTAACAAAGCTATACCTAAAGGCTGATTCACATTCTTATAAATTTAGTACTTCAACTTAAGATGAATGTCCAAAATATTACATTCATCTGAATTATTTTGTGACAACAAATACAATGTTCAGAGTACATGCAGGTTAGCTATCCACAGGTTTTAGTAAAAGGTAACAAGCATTATTACACTTTAAAAGTTGTTCTACTTCTTAAGCCCTAGAGACAGGAAAAGATTTATAAATAAAATTTATGCTGTCCCTTTCTAGCCCCTACAATGAAAGAGCTGAATTTCTAATCATTTTCCCTTATGTCCCAATCTCTTTTCTCAGAAGTAGTGTGCTGCTTTCAATTTGAATTCCCTACTGGGGAAAATTTTATTTCATTTGTTACAAAGTGGCAGTCAGTCAGTATTTAAACCAAACATCTACAATGTATGTTCTTTTTGCAAACATTTAATCAAAAGTAACAAGGGTCAAAGAATAAGTTTAAAAGAAAGGAAAGTGGATACTGAAAAGAGACACACCTGGGCAAGCCTTTGCCTAGCTCTTGCTTTTTCTTGGTTACTTGCTGAATGACCTGCTCCCAGTTGACATTTCTCCGAGATGCATTTAGAATCTGCCGAAGGGTTGGCTTGAGTCCAGATTCCTTCTCTGTCTCACTCTTTCGATGTCCACTAATATTGCGAATGCGGCGAGCACTGTTGAGGTTTGGCTCAGGAAGGTGTGATCCAGTTTTGCTCTTCAAACTAATGTGGCGGGTTAGATCTCTCTGGAGTGAGGCGGGAAAGCCAAGTTTACTTAGTTCAGGCAGGAGAGGGCCTGCAGGCTGACCTATATCACTTTTTTGAAGCTCTACATCCAAACTAGTACTCTCAAATCCTTCTGTTTCATATGATACTGGAGATTTTATTGGGTCATCAACCTGTGCATCTTCTAGAGAGGTTTTCAAGTTCAAGTCCAGCAGTAAGCTAGAGTGTGGACTAGCTACAGGTGTCATTTGTAATTCAGGCTGTTTCTGGTGAACAGCTGGGTTAAATGAGGAAGTGGAGAGTTTTCTAGATGTGCTCAGGTTTTGGTCTTCCCCTTCTTTTTCATCAGTAGCATGGGTGTTGCTGCTGGATAAAACTTCTGTGGTTGAAGAGCTCGTGGTTCCAATTTTTCCTACATGCTTTTCTAGGTCAGATATATCTCCATCACTTTCATCTTCTAATGAGCGGACTTGAAACTCAATCTTCAAAGATCCTTTTTCAGACTCTTCCACATTCCTACTTCCTTTTGCATAGTTCCTGGTCCTTTTAGAAGTGCTCAGAAGAGGACTTTGCAATGACTCAAGACTGGGTAGCACCTCTTTGGCTTTTTGTAACGTATCACTTAAATTTTCATCCGGTTCCTTTTGAGTGCCCAGTGTACTTTTATTCCCTTTTGAGACACGAGGGCATGAACCATGCGATTTGGATAGGTATGGACTGTTACTGTCTTCCATAATGGGTTTGTTCAAGTGATTTGACTTTTCCCCAGGGAGAAAAGAATTTGTTTTCGTGGTTTTTGAGGAATTCTTTGAGCCCTGCATTTGAGGAATTGGTTTGGTGACTGGAGTTGGAAGGAGTGCGGGTTTTAATGATGGCATCTTATTTAAGTTAGGCTCATGTTCAGGTTTTTCTGTAATGGGATAATCTCCCACCACCTCATAGGAAGTAATACAGTCAGAAGTGGCTTTGTGTTTAAGAGATTCCATATGTGTTTCTTTTTGGGTTTTCAGTGTAGGGGAGTTATTTTTTTCATCAGTTTGGGGCTCTTGTGTTCCTGTGGCTGCCAAACTAAAACCAAAGAAAGGTCTGTCTGTCATTTCTGACTTGTTACCAGTGGCTTCTTTTACTCCTGACTGTGAATCCAAAGCCTTCTGGGTAGGATAGGGAGTCCAGCGACGGACCCTTTCCCTGGCTACACTGCTGTTCTTCCCAGCACTTTTGGAAGCTACAGTATCTGTATGTTTGGCGGTTTGGCTTTCCAGTTTCTCAAAACTATAGTCAAGTAAGCTTTCTGAAGGAAAAGTATCACTCGTAAATCCTTCAGAAGGACCTCTATATGTTCCCAGTGTACCAACTTTGTCATTTTCTTGCCGCTGCCATTTATATCTCTCTTGATTATATTTGTTTGACTTAGATTTCTTGCTCCATAGCATAGCCATATCTTCCATTTGACAGTTAGAATTTCTGTTTCTTCCTGGTTGAAATTTGTCGCCAGAGGCACTGTAATTCCAACTATTTGTACTACGTGCACTGGATTTCCAGTTTCCGTTACCGCTGTTCATATGCCAACTGGAAAAGCCACCTGTTCCTTCAGAATGCCAACTAGAATTCCTTCCTGTACCATTATGATTCCAATCTACCATTCCATTATTTGAATGCCAACCACCTCCAGTATTACTATGGCTGTGAAACCAAGTTGAGGAGCTTCCTGAGACACCCTTATGCCACCCAGAACATCCTCGTGGTCCACCACTATTCCTTAAAGAATGTTGAAAGCTGTTTTTCCTAGTATTATTAAAACCATCTTTATCCCACTTCCAATCCCGCTGATGAGGTCCACGATGATGCCATGCTGGCTGTCCATAGCTCTCTCTGTCTTGGTAAGGGATTCGATCTTCTCGTCTCCGTTGAGGTCGTCTGTCATCAGAGTTTATTTCTTGGCTACTATGGGAAGATTCTTTTTTTCTGGAAGGAAAAGTGTTTCATTAGTGATTAAAAGACATTCTTATGCTTCCTTTAAAGACATAACCCACCAAATTTCCTTTCCACCTCCCTCCACTGTTATGTAGCATATGGAACAGATCTAGCTCATTCATATTTCTAATAGTAGTTGTTTTCATCTTTGATTGATAATAATCAAATTTCTGTTTTACATTTTACTAACTTAGAAATGAAATAGAGATTTTTGCCCCTATCAAGCAATTACTACTTTTACATTGTGTAACTTGTTAAAAATAACAATTATATTCTGTAGTTATAAGAAGTTATTATAATAAGTATTATAATAAGATATAAGCTATCTTAAGTTCAGCTACTCTAATATTGTGATTTCTCCCGTTTTAAGTTCTTTTCAAAAAACCCAGTTTCTTGATCTATCTTAAATCTTTAAGATTTCTAAGATTTTTACTCTGCACACTTTCATTCAAAAAACTTTTATCAAACATACAGTCAATGACTTCTCGTGGTGAAAGAAAAATTTCACCAGTGTTCCTGAAAGGCTAACAACCCAGCTGAGGAAGTAAGGTCACAAACAACAGTAAAATAGCATATACCAAATAAATAGTACTCAAAAAGTGCTATATGGAGCTCCATGAACTAGAGACTTTTATAAAGATGCCACAGCTGTTTGAACTATTCATGTTAAACGAGGAGTCCACAGAAATGTGTATAAATTTAAGTAGACACCATGTGAATATAAAACTGTTTGTTTTCCAGAGGAAACCACCACTTTCTCCTACAGGTGGCTATGTCTACCCAGTGTTTAGCATATGGGCAGGTGCTCAAAAATTGAGAATTGCTAAAATATAAGTGCATACTAATTATCATACATTTAATATTAAGTATTTTATATAGATTACCTCATTTAATCTCTAAACCCTGAGGCAATCATTCTAATTCCTACTTTTTAGGTAAGGAACAGGAAAGGTTGGATATCTTGTCTGGAGTGAGATAGTAAGTGGTATGGCTGAGACTTGAACCTTGGTTTGAACACTGGTTCTAGAGTCTACACTATTAAGCAATAGGCCTCAATGGATTTAAAGTCCCCAAAGTTCGTAAAGCTGAGTTCCCTTCTCTAAACTAGACTAAAGCTTCTTATGTCTACCTGATTTTGCATACAAATTGGAATTTCTTCCTTTTTTGAGTTAATCATTTCTAAACAGGAGACCCTAAAGCCAAATAACAAGCACTATTACAAGTTGGAAGGATTTTATGCAACCATGAAAACCAAATTGTCACTTCCAAGGATATCACTGACTCATTGAGGAGAATTGGGGGGGAGGGGACCAAATCCACTATAAAGTATAATTCCCAGATCACCATGAATTAGTTAGATAGAAGGGACAACAACTTCATGAAGAAGGGGCCCTCCCTGGTGGCACAGCGGGTTAAAGCACAGCATTGAGAAGCTTAAGCCACTTCCACATGAGTTCGACCCCCGCCTGCCCCGGAGGTGACCACATGGCGCAGCAGACCTCTCCTGACCCGCCCGCTGCTCCCCTCAGCAGTGTGCTTTGTCCATCTGCCTGTTCTGCTCCCCACTCTGTCTCTGGTGAATCCTCTCACCCTCCGCATCTCTGGCCTGTACCCCAGTTCTGTATGAATTAATAAAACTTAAAAAAAAAAACTTCATGAAGAAAAAGGAAAAACAACCTCATTAAGAAATAAGTAGTTAACTTTATAAATAGACCACCAAAGAGGCATATTAGAATACCTGACAGATATTAACTATGATAAGAATGTCTAACTCTTTTATCATCTGATTTAATGTTGAATCATTTACATAAATAAGTTAATGATGGCACAGTGTATAAGAACAAAAATAGAAGCTAGTCTCTGAGAGGCTCCAATCCCCTAAAAGAGGAGAGAGAATAAACTGAAAGTGGTGAGAATGTCATTTGAAGGACTGAGTAACTGAACAATTTAAGAACCATGTTGCTACTCACATTTAGGGACTTGCTCAAAAAACTTTTAACATAAGAGTAAAAAATACTTCCTTTCTTTAATATTCAAATCTTTAACCAGAAATAACATACAGACCAGATACACCCAGCATACAAGAAGGCTCTTTAAAAATTTATTCTGGAATTTGAATTGTTATTCATCATATCCTAAGACTTAAAAAAATTGCCCCACTTCATAGGTGGTTCTATTTCTTTTACTCATATCTGAAATTTTCTGCTTCATTAAGCTCTACAGAACACAGATCAGTCAGGTGAAATTATAAAAGCCTGAGTTACAGGTGCAGATATGAAATTATGTTGTACAGCTGAGAAACTATACTCAAATGATCTTGACATTGTCAAAATATACATTATTCAATATATATTTACCGATGCACTTATACGGGGATAAGTCAAATTTGATAGACGTGCCATGTAAAATCACAAGAGAAAATATTTTTTTCTTAATGACTGTAGTAAGAAATACCACATAATACATATTCAAGTGAATACATATTCAAGTGAAATTTTTGTACTAATAACTTTCCACTAGAAAACTTGGAAACCAAAGGGTTCTAAACACAGCAAAAAATTCAGATATGTAGCAACTACACTAGCTTTCATGTACATACAATTGAGTCAAGCAGAAGAACACAGCAGCTCAAGAAACAATTCCACTACTCTCTTATGCATAGAAAGGCAACTTCAAGCTAAGCTTTATAACTAAGATAAATATGAAAGCGAACAGCTGAAGAGTAAGGAGATGGAAACTGTGTTCCCTACTATGTTCTGTTTCAGACAGACTTTTTTCAAAATCACAATTATTACTCACCGACTTTGTTCTTTCCTTTGTTTTATTAACTGAACAAGTTCTTTGTCAAAATAATCTTCTTCCTCTTCTTCTCCATTTCCATCATCTTCTCGTTCCTGGGCATCAACATTATCTTTGTGCAACTGGCCAGAAATGTGCTTTGCATACGCAGAGAGACCCACTTCTGTGACCCCGCACACTCGGCACTCATGACTACTGTCCCTGGGGAGAGAGGGAGATGAGGGACATTCAATTCTCCCCACTGGCATGGCCCACTCACCAAATTTGTTACAGTTTCCTCTGAACAACAATGCACACTTTGGTACAGTAAAAAATCAGTGATAGTCAATTTCAATGCTCCTTTCATCACTTTTAATAAGCTTGTTCACAAATTACTTTTGCATGAATTTAAGATTGTTTTCCAGCAATCAAGAGGCAATACGCTTTGGAATAATGTAGTTTAGGAGGAGAAATCTTCTTGAGTTGCTGTATTTAAAATCAGAGGAAACATGGTGAAAGGGGAGGCAGGGCAGGGGGCTCAGAGCAAACAGAAGTTGCTCTTGAGCACACCCATGGTGCCAGCTGCACTCAGAAAGCCTGGTGACAGCTCTTACTTTTAATCTCTGGCAAAAGAGCTTTCTCCCAGTGAAAGTTAAGGGGTGGAGAAAGAGTAGGTGGTGTAACCAATCCCAACCGGGTAACTAAAGCGGAACAGCTGGGGCTCTGCCAGGAATGTGAAGATTCCAGACCCCAGGGCAAATGATAGTAGTCTCAGCAAACTTTTTTTGGTCTGGACGATACATGTGATCCACATTCTGCTTCAGAAGGGCTTATTTGAAAGGGAATGGAAAGTATTTCAGTTGTAGGAAGTTAACAGCTGCACTAGGCAAATGTATTTTCTCAAGTTTCAGAACATGCTACAGTTTAGAGAGAGACAATGCCTGGTTCTTAAGAAAGTTGGTAGGCTTGTTTTTTTCCCCCTTTCCTTTCCTATTTAATGGTGTATCTAGTATTTGGCAATTTTAATAAATTCAAGTCTTGAATCAGTGTCTAGAGCTGCTGTAGATAAATAATGTAACTGGTCTTTCAGCTTCCTGAGATCCCTTGGTTGGCTCAGCTGTCTATGCAGTCACTGCTGAGAAACATCTGAGCCCCACAGCACATAATGAATGGGACATTTAATAGGCACTGATTAAACTATCCTTTGTCTTAGGCCTATACTAGTGATATTTTTACATTCCTATGGCAATTTAGAAAACCACAATAGGGGCCTTCCCTGGTGGCACAAAGCACAGCCCTGAAGCTAGCCATGGACACTTCAGCATGATTTCGATACTGGCCGGGGACCTAAATGGTGCAGCAGACCTCTCCTGTCTCGCCTGCTGCTCCCTTCAGCAGTGTATTTCGTTGATCTGCCTGTTCTGCTCCTCACTCTGTCTCTGGTGGGCCTATCACCAACCCTGTACCTCTGGCCTGTACCCCAGAGCAGTATGCATAAATTAATAAATCTTAAAAAAAAAAAAAACCAACTTTGAATCAAAACAAAACAAACCCTTCAAATCTGAATGCAGAGCTGAGGATACCAAAAAGCCTTGGAAGGAAAAAGGAGGGGAGTCTCGTGGACAATTTTGGAGGATTACTGGAGCTTTGGTGGTGGGCATAGTATAAAACATATTTGATACAAAATGATGTAAAAATAAACTATTATATTATTTAAAAAAAAACATATTTGAAGAGGTGTGAACCTATCCTCCTAAAACATACAGTGTTGTGAATCAACTTTACCTTTAAAAAGACATGCTTTGGTAACATTCTTCCAAGTCAGAATTTGAATCAATTAACCAGAAAAGACCCTTAAAATTGTGCCCTCCCTGATGGCACAGCAGGTTAAAGCACAGCACTAAGAAGCTAAAGCCACTTCAGCATGAGTTCGATCCCCACCCTGGAGGTGACCACATGGCGTGGCAGACCTCTCTTGACCTGCCCACTGCTCCCCTCAGCAGTGTACTTTGTCAGTCGGCCTGTTCTGCTCCCCATTCTGTCTTTGGTGAATCCTCTCACCCACCATACCTCTGGCCTGTACGCCAGTTCTGTGAGCATAAATAAATAAATCTTTAAAATATATATACATATATATTGAACAATTACTAATTACAGGCATCAAGCTAAATCTATGAGAACAACAGTCTAGGGTGATAATATATGAACAATGTCCAGTAAGTTTTAAAAAAAGCAAAGTTTTTTTTAACTTTGTAAAACTATAAATAATACTTCAAAAAAGTAGATTACTTTATAGGGATTCACCTTTTTATGGACCTTTGTAACTTTAAATGTTTTGTATATAATATCATCTTTGACATAGATAAATTTTAATGAGTTCTGACCAGATTCCCTGAAAATATCATCATCAACTAAATATCAACATTCTAATTCCTTCTAGTCCTTTAGGAGCTTAAGTATATTATTTTATTTATAGTTTTCCAATATACTTACTACATTTACATTTACATGAAAGAATAATCCTCAACTTTATCCAGCTAACCAGGAATATCCACTCTCTTTTCTCAGTGAATGCTAACTTGAAACAGAAAACAAGCCATTTCTCATAGCAACACGAGTTAAATTTTAATATAAATATAAGTCTATTTATAATAGCAGCACCAGAAGAATCTGAAGACTAACAAAACCTAGAATATAAAATTAACCAGTTTTAACTGTAAAACTATGGAAAATGTTTTAGTCCACATTTGTAACTAAAACTTTATAGAATTTTAAATTTACTGTGGTACCCCTGATCCTACAAGTCACTTTTAAATAAAATCCCTGATTTTAATTTTACTTCTACAATGCAGAGAAATCTTCTCATGTCTTTAAAGATACAACTGGAAGACCATGATGACCAATATTAAAGAATCCAGTAGGTAGTAGTTAATCTGGTTAAAAATAAACATACACGGGCCCTCCCTGGTGGTGCAGCGAGTTAAAGCACTGCACTGAGAAGCTAAAGCCACCTCCACATGAGTTCGATTCCCGCCTGCCCCGGAGGCGACCACATGGTGTGGCAGACCTCTCCTGACCCGCCCGCTGCTCCCCTCAGCAGTGTACTTCCTCGATCTGCCTGTTCTGCTCCCCACTCTGTCTCTGGTGAATCCTCTCACCCTCCGCATCTCTGGCCTGTACCCCAGTTCTGTACGAATAAATAAATCTTTAAAAAAAAAAATAAAAAATAAACATACACAATCATAAACTCTCACACTTTGCAATCCCCAAAACAGAAGCAACGTGACATATGTAATGGACACTCAAACACATAGCTTTAAAACACTTCTGCGCTCCTTACAAGCACAAATATAACTGAAGCTCCAAAGTTATCTGACAGAGGATCTCAAGAAATCCTACCCAGCAGGCTACAGGCAATGAAAGCAACATAAGTTAACATGCTGAACAATTTAATCAAAAGACAAAAATTCCTAATATTTTTCTTAAGAATGAAATCTAGTTTTAGAAAAAGAAAAATGCTTTATAAGAAACTTCAAGAAGAGAAGAAAATCCAACAGTCTATAAGGAAAGAACAGGATAGTTCAGCACATCTCTTGAAAATTCAAATGTATCTGTAGCCAGAACAGCAACTGAGCTGTTCTACATTCAAGATGTGCTCACACTTAGTGTTTGGTAATCAAGGTTTCGAAAAGTGAACAGCAAATAGAATGATATTTTAATGACATTATATTTTCTAATTCTTTATCAATAGCCAGTTAAAATACTTACACCTTTGTTTAAACACATGAAATAACTGTTGGAACAAAACTGTTGCTTTATTTTTTGGCTAATAAAGGAGATACTTTTCCTCAGGGTGTTTAAAGGAGGGCCCAAATTAGCTTCATCCTGTTACCACACAATTTCCTCTCATGTGTGAAAGGCAAAGGCTTGAGATATTCTATCCATAAGCTTTTCTTTATTAAGCTTGCTCTAACTATACCACAGCAGCTGGTTGATAAATAAAGGTTGGTGCCTTTTTAATGGCATCTATTGGTAGAAACTACTTACCGGCTATACCGGCTATCTAAACAAATATTATCAGGAAAAAAATAGGGAAATGTCCCAGAGTACCACAATTGTGAACAAATCAAGACAAGTTATTTCTTATTCAACTTTGCATTCAAAACCTAAAATAAATGCTCTGAATGTTTCTCAACCACAACACAATCAAAAATTAAACTGATACAAAGAGAAACAAAATTTTAACTTTAGGAAGCCAGTAGTTAAGCATAAAATGCAGAGAAAATAATCATAAATTAAAGATAAAAGGGGAAAAAAGGCTGATAATTCATTTTCCCTGTGGTACAAACTAGTGGTAATGAGTAAATACTCCAACTCCATAAATGGTTCTTGAGACTATTTCTTTATAGTCTTGTTGACTGTTTTTCCTTGCTACCTGCTTGCCTTCTCATATGTTACAGGCTAGAAGGCCATATAAAATTGATTAGCACTGTATCTAAAATATAAGTAAATAAATACAAAATGCTTACTTCTGCATAAAGAGTTTGGGTGCAAAACCTGACATTTGTATTGTCAGCTTGGAAGAAACTGGTGCATTCTCCTTTATTATTTGACTATGCTCCAAATAACTGAAAATGGCTGACAAAATCTTCATGGCACAGTTAAGTTGATGGGAGGGAAGAAAGGAAAAACAGAACAATGTACATACAGACCCACCTGTGCAATAAGACAAAATACATGTATGGAAATATAAATGTACACATACATGGAGAAAGAGGTCTGGGTAGAATACACATCACACTGCTCTTTCCTCTAAGCAGGGAATGGGACTTAAGAGAGTGGTGAGAGGACTTTTACTTTTTATGATTTTGTACTGACTTGTGACCATGAATCATCATAAATAGCCAAAATTTCTTAGGAATATTTGAATTAAATAGGGCTTTCATCTTAGAATAAACTGGGCTTCTCTCTTAATGTAATGATCTGATTTGTTTTGTTGGACTGTATAATAACCACAAGTCAATGTTTATTTAAGTAGCCAGAAAAAGGTGAATTCAAAGGAACCTGCTGAAAGTGGGTTTAACTAAGATCACCCATATACAAATAATCAGAAGTTGATTATATTTCATAAGTTTCCAATGATAATGAATAAAACTTCATGTTGTTATAAGGGTTTCTCCACACTCAATGTGAGTGCACCTCTCTTATACTGATGCTAAGTCCTTTCCTTCACAAAGAGACTAAAACTAACTTGAGTGTACTTGATTTAGAAACTATATTCTTTGCCTTTTCAGTATTGCACACTAATTGCATTAAAGTTCCTTTCCATTAAAAGTCACATATGATTTATCTTGATGCTATAGATGGCAGAACCTATATAGAGTGGGCAGGTTTGTGGGTACTGGGGTGCCCCTCTCCTTATCCTGTAAAAAAACCATGGAAAAATTCTACAATATGCGAAACAGAAGCTGGAAGCTTAAGTATATACTAACTTGCCCATACAATCTAAAACTGTACTACTGAAAACACAAATAATTTCAGATGACTTAGGTTGGCACTGAATATTCAGCTTGTAACTATTACTTATAGAATAAGAAATAATCTTTCTTACTCTCCCAGAGTTTTCTCTGCTCAACACTCTCCACAGATGGAAAAAAAAAAAAAAAAAAAAAACAAGGTACAGACAGAAAACCCACATAGAATTTTTTAAAGATGCTTACTTGTC